ACCGCGCATTGAAATTATCCAGGCGAAGGGCCCAACCATATGCAGTTGTGAATACCGCAATTGTGAGTATCTTCTTCGGTGGTGCCCACGAACCGTATGAGGGGCGTGCCGAAATTTGGCGGGGTACACAACACGAAGGAAAACGATTGGTCGAATTACAAGAGACTGAGCGCGGGTGAAATCTGAGCGCGGGTGAGTCTCATTGTGAATGAATCTGCGTGCAAGAGTATGTATATGTATGTATAAATATACATATATATATATATATATATATATATATATATATATATATATAATATATGCACGAGTGCGATCATGGCTACGCCTCGTGTAAATGTATATGAATGAAGATGGTTCGGGTATGCCTGTCTGTGCACTCGTGACACTGAGCGGGAACCCCGGCGGCAGCGCCCACACGCCGCGACGCCCATGTCGGCACGCCCCTCACGAAGATCGCGCCCGCTTCCTTCCCTTTTTGTTGCTCCCTCTTTGCCCGCGCACTCCAAAGTCCAAAGCTGCGGGCGCAGCGCGGCGCGGAGTCCCCGCGACGCGCGCCGGTCGCCCTGGAAGGGTCCCAGAGACGCGCGCGGGTCGTCCGCTGCGCGGAGCAAAGAGAGCTAGCTAGCTAGCTAGCTAGCTAGCTAGCTAGCTGGCTGGCTGGCTGGCTGGCTGGCTGGCTGGCTGGCTGGCTGGCTGATAGCGGGCGAGGCTCTGACCGCTGGGCAGAGCGACGACGGGCGAGCGAGGCGCAGGGAAGAACGCAACACGCACTTCCCGCGACGCGCGCTGGTCCTCCCGGGAGGGTCCCACCGACGCGCGCGTGTCGTCCGCGGCGCGAGGCCAAACAATTAGTTGGGCAGTCGAGAGAAGGCGCGGCTCGGGGGGGCGCGCTCCTCGGGTCAAGCCTCGCGGATAAACTCGGTAAAGCCGAGCTCCCTGGCGAGGCCGTCGCCTCCCTCCTGCACCGCTTCGTGCGCGCCACAACCTGCTCCAGCTGCTTCCACAAGCCCAGCCATGGTGGCCGCATGGCGGCGGACGCAGGGTGGCGGTGGCATTGGCGCCTTCGGTGGAGCCCGCTATGGGGCCAGGAAAGCGCGTGAGGAGTGTGCCGAAATTCGTGTGGGGGACGCACGCGGGCGGTGGCACTGGGGACTTCGGTGTAATTCCCGATGGAGCCACGAAACGTGTGAGGGGTGTGCCGAAATGGGTGTGGGGGACGCATGCGGGCGGTGGCACTGGGGCCTTCGGTGGAGCTCCCTATGGGGCCACGAAACGTGTGAGGGGTGTGCCGAAATGGGTGTGGGGGGCGCATGCGGGCGGTGGCACTGGGGCCTTCGGTGGAGCTCCC